CAGATAGAGATCAAGACGTCTGGAGACGGCCCCTCGAATTTTATCCTAGAGGGCGTGGGGAGCCCCCAGAGCCGTTAACAGAGGGGAACGATGGGCCAGATTGCACTGTGGGAAGGTTCTCTCGGTAGCTGCATGGAGGAGGGATTGGCCTGGGGAGAAACTGGAGGCAGGGATAGGAAGGCTCCTGCGATTGTCCAGGAGAAGGGAATCCAGGGGCCTGACCCAGGGTGGTGCCTCCCGGAGTGCAGAGAAGGGAGATCCGCAGGAGAGATGTTGTGGACACAGGAAAAACAAACCTTGGCGATTGATTGGACACATGGGTGAAAAGAGGAAGAAATTAAAATGACCCTGGACTGGGGAATGTGGGAGTGGACACAGGCTGCCACACATTACAAAATGGAATTGCACATGGGAAGTGATGCAAAGGACCAGTTTGGTCAGAGAAACGTTCCACTGGAAAAAAGGCGGGCAGGTCCCCCAGCGAGAGCAAGGGGCACCTAATGGGCGAGGCGTGACATTTCTCCCTTGTTGTTCAGTCATTTCAGTCCCGTCTGTCGATCTGTGACTCCGCTGGCAGTTTTCTTGGCAAAGATACTGGAGTGGTTTGCTATTTCCTTCTCTGGCTCATTTTACAGATGAAGAAACTGAGGCAAGCAGGGTAAAGTGACTTGTCCGTGGTCATGTAACTGTTAAGTGTCTCAGGCTGGATTTGAACTCAGATCTTCTGCACTCTATACACTCTGGCGCCACCTAGCTGCCTTTGACCTAACTCAGATTGGCCCAATATTCTACTTAGTATGAAGAGCTCTTTGGGTCCTGAATACCCATCATCTGCTGTAGGCTCCATATCATTTGCCAATTTGATAAGCTTGTGATCTCTCCCTTTATCCGAGTCATCTATGAAAACATGACGCAGCCCAGGGTCCGGGGCAGATTCCTCTAGAGACTCTTCCCAGATGAGCCATTAATGACTACTTTTAGATTGTGTCCAATGGCCACATTGTCAGAACCTCATCTCTCTGTCATGTTTCACGATCGTAGTAGGAAAGACTTTCTGAAACGCCTGAGTACAATCTAGATGAACTATGGCCACAGTATTCCCCCAGCCTGCCAGCATGGTAACTTTGTTCAAAAAAAGAACATTATCTGCTCTGGCCAGTTCTGGATGAGGACCTGTGGGCTCTGGGAAGTCACAACTTTCTTTTCTAGATGTTCAGTAGTCAGGCCTTTAGTTTAACATGCTGGAATCTCGTCCAATCTCATGGGCCTGGAGTTAGCCGACTTCATCCACTTCCCTTTTCAGCAGCCGGGAAAGCCTGTGCTCTCCTCCCATCTGTAGGACTTCCTAGCTCTCCTGGCCCCTTCACAGATCGTTGACCAAAAGGGGCTCAGCCATCGCTCCTGCCAGCTCTTTGAGGAGCCGAGGATGAATTATTTTGGGCTAGCTGACAGACTCATCGACGGCAGCCGGGCCTCAGGCATCATCGGCTCCCTTCTGTAATTCTGTCATTTTCATTTCAGAGGCCAATGGTGGTGGTTTCTTGTGGGGCAGCCTGCTCACACGCCTACTGCTTCCCTCTCTGTTCAGGAGGTGTGGAGGAGACGCTGCAGTCTGATCTCCATTTTACAGATGAAGACACTGAGGCTGAGAGGTTCAGTGACCTGCCCAAGCTACTCTGCTAGATAATGGTCAAAGGCAGGATTCCATCCAGCTCTCTGCTGACTCCCAAGTCCAGCCGCACTTCCTCTAGGCTACACAGAGCTAGAATTGAAAGTCAGAAGATGGAGACAATTTAGTAACCAATGGTTCATCTGTAAAATGGGCAGACTAGTCCCTGAGCACACTCATCTGGAATTTAAATGAATTGATAGTGGTGAAGATAACGATTTGTTGGAGGGGGGTGCTGGGAGCTGTGACCCACCCAGTCTCAGTAGCTGCTGACTCAGCTGCCCTCCCCCTGCATCACTAGCCTCGGGCTGCAGTGTCGCATATTAGATCTGGGGGAGGGAGGGGAGGGGAAAGAGGGAAGGACCATTGGGCTCGCCCACAGAGAGCCAGCCTCTGGGATGCCAGGGAGGAAGGCGGAGGGAGCGGCAGAGCAGAGGCAAGTTGGAGTAAAGGAGGTAAGCAGACCTCGGTGGCCATGGTGGGAGAGCCCCTGTCCCCTGACGGCCCACGAACAGGCCCGGAGGAAGCAGGACGGATCGAGGTTAGGTGGACAAAGACCTGTGTGGGCTGAGGCAGGGCTCTGGCGGCAGGAGGGGGTCTTCTCAGAAGGATACTTGAAGAGATGCTGCTGTCTGTCTGCCTCCTCTGTCGTCCCCAGTCCTTCCCTTGCCTTCAGTACCTCCCTGTCTGCTGGCCCCTTCCCTCTGCCCACAAACATGCCCGGGGCTCCCCTTGGCCCACCCACCCCCACTCTCCGTGGTCCCCTATCCCTCCCTGTCTTGTGGCCCAACTCCCTGAGAAGGCCATCTACACGGGGGCCTCCACTGGCTTTTACTGGTTCCCACTGAAACCGCTCTCTCTGAAGTTGCCAATCATCCCTTAATCAACAAATCTCGCAGCATTTTCTTGGGCCTCGTCCTTTGACATTGACTGTCTCCCTCTTCTCTCTAGGCTTTCCTGAACTTGCTCTCTCCCGCTCCATCTCAGCCTCCTTTGCCGGCTCTTGTTCTAATCCAGGAATGAGGAACCTGCAGCCTCGAGGCCGCACGTGGCCCTCTAGGTCCTCGGGTGTGGCCTTTTGACAGAGTCCAAGTTTTACAGCACAAAATCCTTTCATTAAGGGGATTTGTTCTGCAAAGTTTGGATTCAGTCCAAGGGCTGCACTCGAGGTCGCAGGTGGCCCATGCCTGCTTTCGGCCATGCCCGCTGACCATGGGTGCCCCCCAGCGCTCTGTCCCGGGCCCTCCTCTCTTCTCTCTTTTCCCTCAGTGATCCCACCAGCTCTCATGGATACTCAGATCACCTCCGTGCTGTCGATTCTCAGGCCTGCCTAGCCTGCCCTAACCTCTGCCCATCTCCAGGCCCACATCTCCAGCTGCCTCTCAGACATCTCCCACCAGATGTGGTGCAGACGTGTCCAAAACCGACCTCATGATCTTCACCCCTCAACCCTCCCCCCCCCCCCCCCTCCCCCGTGATGTTGAGGGGCCCCCCCCCTCCCAGCCCCCCAGGCTCTTGACCTCAAGTCACCCAAGCCCCTCCCCCATCCAGTCTTGCTGTCTGGGCCTCATTTTCCCTCTTGTCCATCTCTATCCCCCATTGCCTCCCCTCAGATTCCTGGTCCTGTGGCAGGGGAAGGAGGATCTGGGTGTGCATGCCTTTCTCTCCCCACCCCCACATCCCCTCAGGAGTGCACAGACCCAGATTCCATTGGATTCCTCCCTCCCCCGGCCCCCAGCCTTCATTCTACCTTCCTTTCCTCCTGGAGGCCTCCAAGTTTGGCTTAGAATCTGACCCTCAGCTCCAGAGCCGGGGGTGGGCAGAGGCTTCAGGGATGCCCGGTAGCCCTGACTCTCTCCCTCCCTCCTGGCTGTCCTCGGCCTGCCCTGCCCTCTCTTGTCTCGCTACCAAGTCCAGAGGCCCCCCTCCCTCCCCCTCCTCCAGATGAGTACCTCTCTTTCCGCGTACATCCCAGACACCATTGGCGTCTTCCAAAGGGAACTTTGACTAAGAGACTGAGAGAAAGCAATCACCACTAAGTGTGGGGACCCTGGCAGAGGGCTGCTTCACAGGGTCACCAGAAGGAGCAGAGATGGCTGGGCAGGCATGTGCAACTCACACATGGGACTGGTGGCTGGCCTTCCTTAGAGTTTGGCACACGTGAGCTCACTGGGGCCTTGCATCCAATAGAGGGAGTAGGAGGTGCTGTCATGTATCTTCATATTACAGAAGAGGAAACTGAGGAGCAGGGATGACCCAACTTTGACAAGGTCACACAGCTAGCAGGAAGCAGGGGCAGGATGTGGGCCCAGGGCTCCTTTGGCCAGGGCTCCATCCACTGTGCCGGCCAGGCCACCATAGTTCTGCTCGATTAAGGCCCCACTGTAGAGGCAGCATGGCGGGGAGCCAGGAAGGAGCTTCTGATCTGTGCTGGAAAGGAGGGATTCTCTAGGGGCAGAGGGGAAGGTGCTCCCCATTGCCTTCTCCAAGGGTCTCTCTCACACGAAGACAAGCTGTCCCAACTGGAGGCTGGCCAGGCCGCCCCAGGATCCCATGGAGGGAACAGGCCCAATGTGATGTCTTTGGCTCTCCCAGTGATTAGCCGCTTCTCATCTGTGGGCCTCAGGCCTCAGCTGTGGAACGAGAGGGCTGGACTCGAGAGCCGGTCAGTGGTCTGAGTCTGTGGGTGACGTGCCCTGAGCCGGGGCTGGAGGGTGGTAAGGCCAGCCTGACAGTGGAAGGTCAAGGCCTGGTTGAGACCCGGGGCCCGCGGCCCTCATTGGCACAGCTGAGGCTCCTGCCTCCTCTGAGGGCTGTTGTGGCTGGAAAGGCCCATGTGTGACCTCCTGGACCAGCCCAGCCCGACCCCCACCAGGCTTTGCAGAGCCCAGGCTTGCCCTGGGGGACGATCAGGCTCGTCTGCATGCTGCCGGGCAAAGCCTATGGGTCCATTCCGAGGGCCCTGCATTCCCGGTGACTGTTTGCCAAATCTGTCTGGGGTCTGGGGACCTTTGCAAAGCCTTGCTGTTTGTACATCGGCCACTGTCCACATTTCTTCATTCGGTTGTTCATTCATCAACATGCAGACTGTGTAGAGAGCCTGGCAATGGAGAGGGGATTCACCCCTGCTGGCATGGCACCCTTGTTCTTCTGAGCCCTCTTTGAGACAGGATCAGGGGCATTGCTGATGGCCCCAGAAGGCAGGCCGCTGAGAGCCGGCCCAGTCATTTTCCTGACCTCCTCCCACCCCTGCCCCCGCCTCTGACATCCCTGGCTCCACCTTTCCCATCCCCCTCCCACACTGCCCGACCCTCACTTCTTGTGTTTTCAGCCCAAACTCGGAAGGATGGACCTGGACAGTGGCCTCCCCTCCATCGACATGTTGCAGGGTCTGCAGATCTGGGCCATTGAGGTGAGAGGCACCAACCCAGACAGGGACGCCGGGCAGGGATGAGACAGGGGAGAGGGGCATTGAGGAGGGGGTGGGGCAGCCCCCAGGCCTGGGCTGGGGCTGGAGGAGGGGCGAGGCCCGGTCCACAGGAGCCTGTCACTGCCTCCTCTAGAAGATGAAGATGGTCCGAGTGCCAGAGAAGGCCTACGGGAGTTTCTTTGAAGGTGACTGCTACATCATCCTGCACGTGAGTGGTCCTGGACTGGGTCCCCGCTGGCTGTGTCCACTGGAGCCCGGGCCTGGGCGCTGGGGGAGGAGGCAGCAGGAGAAAGGCGGCCAGAGTACAGGCTCTCCCCCCACCCCGCCCCAAGCGGCAGGCACGCTGGCTCCTCGGACGACACAGGTCTGAAGCCCCATTTCCCATTTTCCCACCCAGACCTGGAGACATCACTCCTGTCTGGGGCACCATGAGGGCTGGCTTTAAAGTCAGAGGACCTGGGTTTGAATCCTGCCACTCACTGCCTGTGTGACCTTGGACAAATCCCTCAGCCTCTCTGGGCCTCAGACTTTTCATTCGTAACCTGATGCCCTCTGCCATCCCTCCCAGCTCTCAGTCTGTGGTCCGAGTTCTAATCTCTGGGGTCCTTTTCTCCTCTTCTGTCCCCCTCATCTCCTCTCATCCAGTCCATCTCCAAGGTCAGCTGCCTCTCTCCAACCTGCCTCCCCTGTGACCCCACTGCCCAGCCATGGCCCTCCCTGGCCTCCCCCTGGACCGCTGCAGGGCTGCCCACCTCTCTGTTCTGCCCCTCCCAGCCCTCCTCCACATGGTGCTCAGCCTTGTCTCCCTTAGGCACCGATTAGTGTTGCCCTGCTCAGAGCTGGGAATTGTTCCCCAGAACCTCCCCAGTGAGATCCAGGCTGCGTGGCCTGGCGTCCAAGGCCCAACCTTCACTCTGAAACGGCCCCTGTTCTCCATTCGGCCTCTTAAAAGTCGGCCCATTCAAGGCTTAGCTCAAATGTCACCTCTTCCATGAAGCCTGCTCTGACTGTCCCTGGGCAAAAGTCCGATCCAATCCAACGGACGTTTATTAAGTGCCTACTATGTGCCTGATGCGAGGCTGTGTGCCGGGGACACCAGGGCAAAAATGAAACAGGTGTGGCCTTCAAAGACCTTACATTTTCCTGGCGGTTGAGGGTCTGGCAGAATAGAACCCATACCAAAATAAGTAAATACGAGAGTGAGAGAGAGACAAAGAGACAGAGACAAAAGCAGAGACAGAGACATAACAAAAACACTTTGTGCCTCAGTTTCCTCACCTGTGACATCGATGAGAATACTCACTGGCCTCTAAGGTCCCTTCCACCTCTGAACCTCAGATCCCCTGGATCTTCCACGGGCAGGCAAGATCAGGGAAGGCTTCCTGGAGGAGGTGGCCCAGGCCCTGAGCCTTGAAGGAAGCCATGGATTCTGAGAGGTGGGGATGAGGAGGGGAGCAGGGGGCCAGTCTTCGGAAGGCCTAGCTGTGAGTTGGAGCTGAAATGTCACGTTCAGGAACGAGGAAAGGGGTCGGTTTGACTGGAGTGTAGACGCCCAGAGAGGAGCCACGTGCATCAGACCAGCTGTAAGCCTGGCACCAGGGAGCCACTGAAGGTGTTTGAGCTAGGGAATTGCACGGTCAGGCATTCACCTCCAGGTTACCTTAGCAGCTCTGTAGAGGAGACTGGACTGGAGAGACAGGAGCCAGGAGTCGAGATGAGGGGCGAGGACCTTCCCTCTCGGACGTCAGCTGGCGTCTGAAGGCGGGCCTCCTAACGATGGACAAAAGGGACCTTGGAGGTCATCTAGCCTTCATTTTACAGATGAGGAAACCAAGGCACATGGGGGAGGTGACTCAGCCAGGGCCCCCCAGGCAGTAAGTGGCAAGCCCAGCTTCCTGGGCTCCAGCTGTGCCCTGGCCCCTTATGGAGAGGTCCCGAATCACACTGGGCACGATCTTGCATTTTGGTGATGTATCACCCCTCCCAGGGTCCAATGAATCCCAAGTTACCCCAAGGCTCATGGCCATGGCTCAGCCTTTGGGGGATCCCTCAGTGGCCCCAGGTGGTGCCACAGCCTCAAAGGAGGGGGGCATGGGCAAAGCCGGCCTGTGCCGAGGAGGTGCCAGGGTTCAGAATCCCAAGTCCCTGTGTCCTTCCTCAGTCCGGGGTGACTGTTACTGTTCCCTAGGACCTGAACTGGGGGTGGGGGCAGACCCCAGGCTGTGGCCTAGGACAGCCCTGGACCAGTGTCCCCAGGGACCTCGCTTTTCCTCTGCCTCTTGGGCTTGGTCTCGTGCCCAGGGGAAGGAAAGCAAAGGTGACGGAAGGGAGGCCGCAGGCTCTGCTGGGGGAGAACGGCGCAGGCAACGAGTGGGCCACTGACACCCAGGCTGGGAAAGGAAGGTGGTGCTGCCCCTCCCACAGAGCAGGGGTCCTTCTTCTGGGCAGGGAACAGGGTAAAATGCTGGACTTGGAGGCAGAAAGATCTACCCCAGACATCTGAGGCAGGGTCCCCAACCGCCCTGGGCCTCTGTAAAATGACCTCCCGGGTCTCTGCCGGGTCTAAATCTCAGCATCCTCCAGAGAATGGGCATATTTCTGTGGTCCGTGTGTTGCCTGGTGGGGTGGGGGTGGGGAAGGAGGTTGGCCCTCTGGGGACAGGGGCTGATGAGCTTAGGGAGTACGAGGTGGTTCCTTAGACAGAGGAGTGGGGAGGGGCCGGCATGGGCTTTTCTGCACCCCGTTCTGTTCAGGGGAGGAGCCCCCCAATTCTGGGGCAGCTGGCTGAGCCCAGAGGAGCAGAGGGCTAGCAAGCAGCCTCAGCCCCCTGCCCTGGCCCTGAGCTCCCTGGCTGTGGCCCAGGTCGGCCCCCAGAGCCCTGGCCGAGCTGGGGATGAGGAAGAGGATGAAGGAAGGATGGCCCCCGTGGGCCTGGCTCCCATCCTGCACCTCTCCGTGTCCCCAGAAGGAGAAGAGTGGCCGGGACGTGTCCGTCGATATTCATTACTGGATAGGCAGGGACTCAGCGGTGGACGAGCAGGGGGCGGCCGCGGCCTACACGGCCCAGCTGGACAGTCTGCTAGGGGACATCCCCGTGCAGCACCGCGAGGTCCAGGGCTACGAGTCGGATGTCTTCAAAAGCTACTTCAAGAAGGGAATCATGTGAGTGGGGCCCGGGCCGGGCGGGGCTGGGTCCCTGGCGGTCGCCATCTCGGCTGGTGTCCCCCGTCTGGCTCCATCACCACGACGGTCCGGGATCCCCGCTTTACCCAGGGCCCACAGACCGGAAGCAGGGGCCGCTCCCCGCCCGTCCGTCGGGCAGATGGTGCTGCAGTGAGTGGCCCACTCCCCACTGCCTGCATCCCAACCAATGGGGGCCTCACCCGCTCTCTCCCTCCCTGACCCAGCTACAAGAAGGGGAGTCTGGCCTCTGGCTTAAAGCATGTGGAGACCAACATGTACGACATTCAGAGGCTCCTGCACATCAAGGGGAAGAAGCCCGTGACAGCCTCCGAGGTGAGGTGGCTGGCGCCCCGGGAACTCCCCCTATCCTGGGGCCTGGGCTCCTGCCCCAGCCCCTAGGGCATCCCGGCCAAGCCATCCAGGGAAGGAGGGCCTGGAGGAAGGAAGGAGAAGAAGCAGGGGGTTACCCCCAAGGACCTGGGCGTATCTCAAAGAGTGCTGTGGTCCCGGGATCCCGGCTCTGCCGTGACTGCCCCAGACCTCAGTTTTTTTATCTGTAAAAGTGGTCCGATAATACATGCTCTCGGCCCTGCCACTGTTGGTGGTGGGTGTGGGAGGGTCTTCCCGCCTCTGACCAGCCTGAACCAAATTAACTGAGCGGGAAGAGGTGGCCGAGAGGAGAGAGCAGTGGGCCCCAGCTCCCTAAGAGAACGGTGCTGGGCCGAGGTGGCACCCTGGGTGGGAGGTGCAGGGATGGGAGGAGAAAGGCCGCCATGTTGGAGCCCTAGGCCCAAGCCTCCTTGGTCACTTGGAGCTTCTTACCAGGCTCCCCCCCCCCCCACGAAGAATGGAGGAGAGGCCAGCATCCTTCCCCGGTGGGCCGAGGCAGGAGTGGGGCCCACACTAGGAGGGACTCCATGTGCAGGGACCAAAGGAACAGGCCTTATGGGATTCAGTGTGTGTATAGGGACATTCTACACACACACACACACACACACATACACACACACACATCATATACAACCACAGTAACACAGAAGTGCACAGTTACACAGCCCCCTAGACCCCTGCTCACAATGACACCATTGTCCATACTAAAACGTGACCAAACAAAATCCCCCACACAAGCACCTTCCCACAGTAACACAATCACACACACAAATACCTTCACAAAATCATGCAGATGCCCATAGAGACCCAGCCAATCTGAGCACCATGACCCCATCCCACACAACCACACACAGACACACGGATACACACTCAGCACAGAGACACAACCCTCCAAAGTCAGCCGCAACCACATACAGACAGCTGAACACAGCGAGAGTGAGCCATGGTCACACAGCCCCACAGCTACATGCACCTACCCAGAGACAGTGGAGACGAGGAGTAAATGTTCTTGTAGCCAGTGAGACCATCCAAAGGCTGGAGGGAAGGGGCCAGTGGACTTCCTGGAGGAGGTGGGGGCTGGTTTGGTGGGGAGGGGCAGGGGATGCTTTGTTCTTACACCTCCTCCTCCCCTCCCCAGGTGCACCTGTCCTGGGACAGCTTCAACAAAGGAGAGGTCTTCCTCCTGGACCTGGGGAAGGTGCTGATCCAGTGGAATGGTCCTGAAGCCAACTTGTCTGAGAAATCCCGGGTCAGTATCCCAGGCTGGGGGGCCCAGCCCTGTGCTCGGCATCCTGGGAGGGCAGTTGGAACAGGGGCAAGAGGCCCTCAGGGAGCTTGGTGTCTGCTTAGGGCCAGGGGTTCAAGGACAGACAGGAGAAATGGGATTGGATCGTCCCTCCTTGCCTGGGCGGTGGCGGGGGTGAGGCTCGCCTATCCAATGGCACCAGACAAGCCCCTCTCATTCCTTCTCTGCCCCTCCTCTCCAGACTGATCGTTGGGGGTTTCTTTCCCCTCGAGTCTGATCTCACATCACCTGGATACAGATGTCCAGGGGCAGTGTGAGATAGCGCTCCAGAGAGAGGCCAGTGCCCCGAGTGTGCCTGATGAGGGACGTCTGGCCCCTGCCCGGTCCTGCTCCCGCAGGAAGATTTTGGGAGTGGGACCTTAGGATAGTTGGGAGATGGTGGGGGGCTGTCTGGGGCTGGTGGCAGGTGCCAGCTCTGCAAGTCTGCCCTGGTCTGTGGCCCGGCAGGGACTAGCCTTGGCCCGGAACATCCGAGATGGAGAGCGGGGCGGCCGTGCCCAAATTGGGGTGGTTGATGAGGACCACAGCTCTGCCGACCTGCTGCAGATCATGGAGACGGTGCTGGGACCGCGGCCAGGCTCGCTCCAGGACGCCGTCAAGGAGGACAAGGCCGATGAGTTCCAGAAGGCCAACCTGCGGCTATACCAGTGAGTGGGTGTCCCGGGAGGCGCTACCGCTCTCGCAGCAGGATCGCCTGCTCTGCAGTTGGAAAAGCCCTTAGGTGCCTTCTAGTCCGACCCCGATGTGTACCGAGGAGGAAACTGAGGCCCCAGGCAGGGAAGGCATTGCTCTAGGTCCCCGGATACTTTGCTCCTCTGATTTGAGGCTCAGCTTCTCCCAAGACCCTCCGATCACACACAGTGGCTTTTTGGGAAGAAGACAGGCCCCTGGGAGCTGACTCGAGCCTTCTCCCAGTAAAATCAAACAGGCTCAAAAAGGCAGGGCCAGGAGCAAATTTCATCGACTTGCAGGGTGACAGAGCTGAAAGGAATGATTGAGATGAGGTAGCTCCATCACCTCATTTTAAAAGGGAGGAGAGGGAGACCCAGAGAGAGGGAGGGACCTGTGCAAGGCTGGGCAGTTCTGGGGAGAGCCAAGACTAGAGCCCAGGGCTCCTGACCCCCAGGCCCAGATTTTTCCATGAATATCAGCTTCTTCCAGGGGCTGAGGACTCTGGGGGGGATAGGGAAAACACGGGGAGAAACTGAGCCAGGCCCTAAGAGGAAAAGAAGGGCCCATCCTGATGAAAGAGGAGGGAGAAGGGAGGAAGGATGGGGAAAGGTCAGGGAGGTGTGGCGCTCACCTCGGCCTGCCTCCACCAGCCTTTATGAAAAGGATGCAGACCTGGTGGTCCAGGAGATTGCCACCCGACCTCTGACGCAGGACCTCTTACAGCATGAGGTGAGCCCGTAGCCTGAGGAGAAGATTTCCCCCGCCCCAGGGCTTGGTGCTGGGAGGCAGGCCTGATACCAGGAGCTCCAGACTAAGGGAGGCTTCGAGGGAGGGTCCTGGCTTCAAGGCCGGCAGGGACCTTCATGGGGACACTGAGGTGCAGAGACATGCCCCTTGCCCAGAGTCAAATTCCCTCCACCCCCATCCCACCGGTCCTGCTCCTTCGGCTCAGCCCAACTCAGCTCATCTCCATGGCGCCATTCTGCAAACTGGATGCTCATCATCCGGATGGTCCATCCCTCCAGCCTCCCGGGCATCAGTTTCCATCAGGAAAATAGACGTTCAAAGCCTCGGCAGGCTTAGTTCCCATCATTGTTGGGTGACCCTGAAGCATGACCCTTCCTTGGTGCTCTTCTCCTAGGACTGTTATATCCTGGACCAGGGCGGGTTCAAGATCTACGTGTGGCGGGGCCATGGCTCCAGCAAGGAGGAGAAGAAGGCAGCCTTCAGTTGGGCAGTGGTGAGGGCCCGAAGGGGCTTTCCCTGGGAGTCCTCAGGCAGATGTGGGGGACACAGCCTCTACTTCAGGGGAGGCCCCCTCTAGCATAGGAGCCATTGCCCCCTTCCAGTGCAGAAGCTGCCCCCTTCCAGTGAAGGAGATGCCCCCTTCTAGTGGAGGAGATGCACCTTCCAGTGTAGGAGCCATGCCGCCTCCAGTGTAGGAGCCACCCCCTGCAGTGTAGGAGCCATGCCCCCTCCAGTGTAGAAGATGCCCCTTCCAGTGAAGGAGATACCCCTTCTAGTGTAGAAGATGCCCCTTCCAGGGTAGGAGCCATTCTCCTCCAGTGTAGAAGATGCCCTTTCCAGTGTAGGAGCTGGCCCTCACCCCAGATCTGGAGCAACCCTGCTCAGATGAGAGGGATGGTGGGGTGAATACTCTGCCCTTCAGAGAGAAGCAACTGAGTATTTGGAAGGAAGTTGTGAGAAGAGCAGATCACCGGCCTCATTAATCTACAGGGCTGCTACGGAGAGCCTGAGGGGCTGCAGTGGGAGGCGGGTGTCTGGGAAGGGGTTGTTCTGAGACCAGGGTCCACACAGAGCTGGGGGGATGGGGGAAGGGGGGGGATGAGGAGCAGGCCCCTTCTCTCTCAGACCCCACATTCAGGCGCATCCTTCCTGCTACCCCACCAGGGCTTCATCCAGGCCAAGGGCTACCCAGCCACCACCAACGTGGAGGTGGTGAATGATGGTTTCGAGTCCACCATGTTCAAGCAGCTGTTTCAGCAGTGGACAGAGAAGGACCAGATGGAAGGGCCAGGCTGGGCTTACAATCTGGCCAAGACTGGTGAGGGAGGCCCGGCTGGGGTGGGGAGGGCCCAGGGCTGGGGCCCAGAGGGTCCCCTGGGCTGAGAACCATGTTTCTTGGCCTCCATTCCCCAGCCAAAGTAGAGCCCATGAAGTTTGACGTGACCCACCTGCATGGCTGGCCAGAGCTGGCTGCAGAGCAGAGGATGGTGGATGACGGTTCAGGGAAGGTGGAGGTGAGAGGGGAGAGGGGAGCAGAGGAGCCTTGGGAGCCAACCTGCCCCTCCCTCAGGTGGGGAGAGCACTCCCAAAGCAGCTGCACCCCAGGGGCCATGCCAGGCGACCAGCCATCACTCCCCATGGTTACCCCCATGTGCAGGGGAAAGAGGCCAGCCTAACTCCAAAGCTGGTTTGTGTTTGCTTTGGGAGCCAGAATGGTGCCTGCCCTGAGCAAGGAGAGGGGCTGGGACCAAGGCTGTTTGGGGAGCAGCCCAGGACACTGAGGCATCAGGGCTGGAGCAGAAGGTTCAGAGCCCTGGGCAGGCAGGGAGGAGGTGCCAGGCCCACAGCCCCGGCTCTGAGGTGTTTGGGAGGTAAAGGGCTGTCACTGTTCTGGAGATGTTGAGGGATGCAGAGACAAGAAAGCAAACAGGGAAACTGAGCTGAGGCCTCTCAGGTGAAAAGCCCTTGGGTTCCCTGGGGCTCAGGTGTGTCTGTGTGTACCTGGTAGGGCGACGAGGAGGGATGAAGGCACAGAGGTCACCCCAATCGTAAATTATGAGCAGAGACCATCACTCTAGTTTAGTAAATACAGGAGAAGAAATGTCACCTTCACACTCTGGCCAGTTAAAGGGACAAGGCAGAGAGAAAGTAGAGGTGAGGAGAGGAGAGGTGTGGGGAGGCAGAGAGCTGGAAATGACCTGAGAGGCCCTCCAGTCCAACTACCTCCTGTGACATGTGATTAAACAAGGGGCCCCTAAAGGGGGGCTCCCCAAGAGGGTGTGCATCCCAGAGGGGGTGTGCCCCAGAGGGGGTGCTCCCCAGAGGGGGTGTGCACCATGCCCCAGGGGGGTGTTCCCCGGGGGGGGGTGCACCATGCCCCACAGGGGGTGTGCCCCAAGAGAGGGTGTGCCCCAAGAGGGGGTGTGCCCCAAGAGGGGTGCTCCCCAGAGTGGGGGTGCACCATGCCCCAGAGGGGGTGTGCCCCAGAGAGGGTGTGCCCCAAGAGGGGGTGTGCCCCAAGAGGGGTGCTCCGCAGAGGGGGGGTGCACCATGCCCCAGAGGGGGGTGCTCCCCAGAGGGGGGGGTGCACCATACCCCAGAGGGGG